CTCTTTCTGTAGGTTTTGAATTGTTTCCAGTGCTGTATCTATCTTATTAGATTGTTCCTGTAGCACTTTCCTGACTTCTTCCTTATTTTTCTCAACTCCATTGTATAGTGTTTTGATACATTTTAAAGTCATTTTTATGAATTCCTTCTCAGGCATTTCCAAAGTCTGCCCATCTTCCAGTATGGAGTGTAGGTCTACTTCCAGCTCATTTGCCTCAGTCACTTTATCTCGTTTCTGGACATGTGCTGATATGGTCATCTGCTTCTGTTTTTTGGGCATATTCAGGAGTTATCTGTGGCCTTAATACTTAGATGAGTATGTATTTTGGGGAAGAGATAGTCTCTTCAACAAATGCTATTGGCAAAACTGGAAATCCATTTTCAGAAGAATGAAACAAGACCCATATCTCACACCATATAGAAAAACAAAGTCAATATGGATTGAAGATCTAAATGTAAAACCTAGAACTATAGAAATCATCAATGAAAATAAAAAAGACAAACTTAGGGACTCTATCTAATACATGGCATAAATGTACTGTCACACATTATACTAAAAACACACAAACAACAGAAGACAAAATAGATGACTGGAACTTCCTAAAAATTAGACTCTTATGTGCATCAAAAGATTTCACCAAAAGAGTGAAAAGGGAGTCAATGGCCTGGGGTGTGTGTGTAATTTTGTAATTACATAACAGACAAGGGAGTACTCTCTAAAATATATATAAAATTGCAACATCTCTTCAAGAAAAAAAACAAACAGCCCAATTAAAAAATGATCACAGGACATGAACAGACACCTCCGCAAAGAAGACATTCAAGCAGCCAACAAACATATGAGGAAATGTTCACAGTCAGTCATTAAAGAGATGCAAATGAAAACAACAATGAGATATCGCACACCAGCATTAATAGCAAAGTTCAAATAAATAGAAAACAACAAATGCTTGCAAGGGTTTGGAGAGACTGGAACTCTATTACATTGCTGATGGGACTGTAAAAATGTTTCAGCCAATTGTGAAAAGTGGTATGGTGCTTCCTCAGAAAGCTGGATATAGAACCCAGCAATCCCTGTACTTTGTATATATCTACAAGAAATAAGAGCCAGGACACAAGTAGATATGTCCACACTGATATTCATTGCATCAGTGTTCACAAAAGCAAAAAGGTGGAGACAGCCTAAATGTCCATCAATGGAAGAGTGATTAAACAAAATGTGGTACTTTCACGCAATGGAATACTGTGCAACGTTGAAGAATAGTGATGAATCTTTGAAACACCTCATAGCATGAATGAGCTTGGAGGACATTATGTTGAGTGAAGTAACTCAGTCATAAAAGGATAACTATTGTATGAAACCACTATTGTAAAAACTCTTGAAAAGGTTTTCATACTAAAAGAAATATTCTTTGACAGTTACCAAGGGCAGGAGGGAAGGGAGAATAATTCACTGGCTGGAGTGTAGACATACTTTAACTCAGGTGATGGGGAGGGCAATAAACAAGAAGAGGGAGGTTGGCAGAAGAATAATAAAAGATACATAAAGACACAGAGAGATATGCAAGTGCTAAAGGGCATGGAGGTAAATAGTGATACATATACAACCTTGGAACAACAGTGTTCTATGTATAGGTACATGGACAGACACAGGCTGAATGGGTATGTGAGGAAGAAAGGGATATATATATATATATATAT